AGTGCCAGCACCGCCCACGGCAACCCCCCAGACCCCGAACCCCCACATAGTCCTGGTCAACACCCGACGGCCTGCCCTTCTCCCGGACCCCACCCCCGGAATGGCAGTCAGGGAACTAGGGGGGGAGGAAAAATAAATAAATAAAATTAAATAAAAAAAAATAAGACCCCGACACATACACCCCCGCCCCTAGATGTGCTGTTGATGTGTGTTGTTGTATAGTGCCATTAAAAAGGAAAGAAGAAGGAGCAAAGGCTGGCATGATGCCAGTTTCCGCTCCACCCCAACTCTCTCCAAACCCTAGTGTCTAAATGCAACCGTTGTAAGTGAGCACAGGCACAGGGGGTGAGAGTAAGTTCATCCCACCACCCATAGCCATGTGCCTACCTCAAGTTCCTATATGTGAATGTCATGAGGATGTTATGAATGAATGTCTAAGGTGTATAATAAAATTGAGTCCCATGTGGCTATGGTCAACAAAGATGTAAAATTGCTGCATCACACCCGAGCCCAAACAACCCTAAATGTATGGAATTGAAATGAAGAGGGTGGAGGTGCATGGTGAGGGATGGGGAGAAATAACTGTGAGAGCAAATGCTCCCACAGGGAGTCAGCTCCCCCACTGACCCAACAGCCCCCCCCCAGCTCCCCAAGGTCCACCCAGGGATTGAGGCCAAGACACCTCTCCATCTGGACCAACCGCCAGGCCCGCTGAGCTCCAGACCAGAGAGGGACAGAGCCCCAAGGGCTGCCAGAAGCAGTACCAGCAGCCTACACACCCGAGGGCTGCCAGGACCCCCACAAACCGCAGTCAGCCTGCTACCAGATGAAGCCAAACCCCACTAGGACGACCCGGCCAAGAGCACCCGCCCAACCGCCGACAGTGCCAGGAAGCACCGGGAGCGAGCCCCCACCACAGGAAAGGGGCCAGCCAGCCGGCCATGCACAGTCCCGGGCCGCCCCCAAGGACATCCACCCCATCCCCACCCCAGAAGAAATACTACACCCACCCCTCATTCGGACATCTCTCAAAACACATAGCACACTAGACACCTAGGCTGGGTCAAACTACCCCCTCTTAGGGGCCACTGGTCACGCTCCCAAACACCCAACCCCCCAGCCCATGAACCCACAACCCACCAGCGAGCCGAAGGCCCCCGCCCAGAACCGGGCACCAGAGC